TAGAATAGCAGATATTATTGGGGATAGGTGGTCCCACAGATACCTATATCTTGAGTGATGAAGAGCTTTAAAAATGATCACCCAGAAGTTAACTTTTAACCAGTGAAAGTTTCAGAGTAGCTGTATTCTATGAGTAAATTAAGTAGTACCCATAACCACTTGAGTCATTACATTTGCTGTGTCTTCTAAATGCTTTTAAAGGACATTCATGCAGATTGTATTGCAACAATCTAGGTGAGAGATTAATAAGCCCCTTCCCCAAGCTAAGAGCTCATTTTATATATAGCATTATGATCCCATCCAGAATTAAGAATGGTCTCTCCCTGAAACTGGATGGCTCCTGAACATGCAGCCATTACACCTAGTTGAGATAGAACCTAAAGTTCTTTCCCATCAGACTCTAAGTCAATACCTCAATATCATCTGTTCAATCCTGCGTTGATCCTGTGTTGATATATATGTTTGTCAAACATAGGAAATCGGAAGATCAGATCAACATATACACTTATTAAAAGCTTAAGCTCTCTACAAGAATCTGAACTACTAACAGTCAAAGCAAATTGGCAGTAGATAATGGAATTTGAAGTGATTAAGATTCAGGCGCAAATGCAATTCTTTCCTTAGTAATATTCTGGTTATCTCCTACTATGTTGATGGCTTTAGTGCAGGCCTTGAAGGTGGATCAAAAGGTAGATAAGTAGATGGAAGTGGGGGAAGGGGCAGAAGAGATATGAACAATACCAAGAGGGTCACATTTGCAGTTTTGCTATATGTTATTCCCACCTAAAACTGATTACCATGATTACTTAAACATATGAAAATCAAATTAATTTTGATGATATCCTAGATTAGTTATACATGATGAAAACTATGTGACCTTCTACCATGAATAGGGCACTGCATGCTTCAAAAACAGAATAATTGTGCCAGACCTTGCATAAGTACAATACTATTCTGATATTAGTTAAAGCTAGAATTGCTGCCAAGTTTGGAGTCATTCCAGTAGGATACCATGATGAAAGGTATCAAGCATGCTAGGAGATCTTGCAGGAACAAGAAGAGTGCATTCCCTCCATCAAGTCCCAATAGCCACCAAAGCAATAAATTTATATTCTAAGACTAGGTCTGGACCCTGACTAGAAGGGATCAAATGCCTAAATATTAAGATTATATTACAAATTACTGGTTGAAAAAATAATACTTCGCCTTCATCAAATGAATATACAAATTCAGATATCATGTACTGCAAGAAGAGATTCAAAAAAGTTGTGTTTAATTCCTGATGTTTGTCCTACAAACCAGAAAAAAAATCTGTCTGAACCAAGAGTTATAAATATACCATAACTTAACATTTACATCTGAAGAGTTCAACGAGAGGGAGAAATTGAACCCAGATTAAGCAAATCACCACATAGTCTCTTTATTCTGTGCTTTTGTCATACAATAAAACATGATTACATCTTCAGAAATCAAGCGAACTTGTTTGAAAATGACTATTTAATAATTTCATCTTTTTATTCTTTTCAACCCAGCAGAGTGTTGGAAAGAAAGGACTTTATTAGAATAGCCTCCTGAAAACAGATCAGAACAGGACCATATTTGATGTCGGAGGAGAAACTGACCAAAAACAGATTGAGTGAAAAAATGGGCCAGCACTGGCTATGAGCTTCTAAACAAAATGTTCTGAAAAAAAATCTTCATCCATTTGGAAAATGCAAATTGGGATTGGCTTGAAATTCTGGGACAGTTCCGTTCTAGCTTTGATTTCACTTCCCTCTAGGTTGCTGAGTCATAGAAAAGACTATACTACCGTCCTGTGCTATATAAGCTTTTCTATCAAATCACCCATATGCAAACAATCTGAATAGCCCTTTGGGATAAAATGCACTCTGTGCAAAAAGAAAAAAACCAGAAGAATGCAATATACTTCATTCAGTTCTGGTCATCACAAAAAAGTTGTTGAGACTCTAGAAAGAGCAGAGAGGAGAGCAGCAAAAAATGTTTAGGGTCTGGAGGTTAAAACATGATGAATAGTTGCAGAAAATGGGTGTGTCTCGTCTAACGAAGAGAAGGACTAGAAGTGACATGATAGTCTTTAAATATTTGAGATGCTATCACAAAGAGGGAGTCAACTTATTTTACAAAGCACCTGAGGACAAGACAAAAATAACTGATGGAAGCTTATCAAAGAGAGATCCAACCTAAAACTAAGGAGAAATTTCCTTACAGTGAGAACAATTAATCAGTGAATGGCTTGCCTTCAGAAGATGTGGGTGCTCCATCGTTGGTGGTTTTTAGGAAGAGATGGGACAGCCATTTATTTGGAATTGTATACAATTTCCTGCTTGGAAAAAAGGTTGCCTAGAACACCTCCAAGGTCTCTTCCAACTCTGTTTTTCTGAATTTTGTATACACTTAAGCTAGACTGTCACTAGCTTAAACCACTCTCTTATATAGAAGAAAATGCATTTCTCACAATCACTGCTGGATAAGAGGCTAGAAAGATTCCAAAAGCCATGTCCCATGTACTTTGTCTGCCTTATTTTTTTCCCTCCAAAAGTTTGCTTCATTCCTTGTGGAATCTAAGTTATTTAATCCCCCCCTCCGATTTACCCAAGATATCAAGATATAAATTGAATGTATATGTAGGATAGATTTATTCATCATGCATCCTGATAGCTTCCTCTACTCACTAATACATCTCCCTGGGACTTATTACTATCTTACCCACAAACAACTATTATATATATATATCTTTTTCTTTTTTCACTTAAATGTTAAATTTCTTCTTTAAAAATTTAATTTGCATCCAGGAACAGCAGAATACAGCATCAGAGCAACATGTTGTGCAATCAGATTAACATATCATGATAATGGACACAAATGTCAACAATCCTAGGCATATATAAACAAGTTCCATTGAATCTGGTAGGAATTCTAAATAAATATGCTTAAGACTAAGCAAAGAGCTCAAACAAAGTGAAGATACTTTTTCACAAATATAAAATTACAGCATGCAGTCAGAACTGAGGACAAATATGGGTAGAAATGTTTGCTTACTCCTTTCCCTCTTCGATTATTATTTTGAGGGGAGGAGGTTGCTCAAAGTTACTTCCTGCAAACTGTTTCTCACAAGCTACATGGTGAGAGAAAATATGGGTATAATCCTGGTTATAAATGGGACATAAATCATGTAATACAGTTTTCAGTCTATTCCCAGAATCAGTCAGATGTACAAAGTGCTTAATGGGCTAGCAAATAAATTCTGCTGAAAGGTGTTTAAGAACTAGAGTTGTGCAAAACTTCAAAGGAGTGCTTCAATTCAACTAAACATCAACTGAATCATTCCATCAAAGCATATTTGTGAATCAAAGCAGGAAATTCTATTAAAGCAGTGAATCAAATCAGCAACTTCAAAGCATTTCATAGCCTTTCAAAGCACTTCACAGACTTTATGGCTTTTCTGTTGCATTGGGTGGGGGGTGCTACAGACAATATTTAATATTGCAACTTAATCCCATATATGAAGATGAAATGGAAGATCAAGATTTGTGACTTTGCCATTAGTAATTGATCAATGAGTTTTATCACCTTGTTAAATTTTCTACCTGTCAGAAAGCTCATCTGAAGCAACAAAGCTAACATTGCTTTTGAATTTTATTCTCTTTTTCAGATCTTAGTCACAAAGAGAGTCATAACTTTGCTTTCTTTTTTGCTAATGTTATACTTCTGTGCCAGGATAGTGGGAGTTTATTCACTCTTTAGCATTTTGAACAATGGTGTCCATTGGGTGCAGAATCTAATAGTCAAAATGACTGACACAGCATCAGAACCAGTGGTTGGATTCATTTTTTTTTTACTACTGGTTCCTTAATTAAAAGTTTTTTTATTTTTTTAAATTTTACACATCTCTACACGTGAGCAACATGATTACAGATTATAACACTTGTACATAGTAATACTTTCATTTCCATTAATCTTATATAATATCATTTCATATCATTCTCCATTTCACTCATCTTTAAATAAATTTACATTTCATATTTCAATTCATTAATTCAATATCAATATCATTTCATCCACGCATAGGTTTTCAATTCTTTATCCTCTATTATTTCCATTTTCAGCTTACCCTATTTTATTTTACATTACACATCATTATTATCCTAAATTTTCTCTAAGCCGATATATAATAAACAATCTAAAAAGAGTAAAATTAAGTCAAAATTTTTAGAATCCACATGGTATTTTTCATTCCCCTACTTTAATCACAATAAAATACTCTCATTGTACACTTCTAATATCCATTAAATAATCAACTGTATATATTAAAACGTATATATTTTAAAGTATCCCCCCAGTAAATCACTAAAATAACTTCCTAATATGTCTAATTTTATCTTCACTTTACTTATAATCATTAATAATCATATTTTTTCTTCCTTTACATTTGCCAAAGTTTATCTATATTTTTTTAATTCATTTCCATTCCCCTGTTTTTAATCCTCCAAAGAAAGAGCTTTATAGTTATACAATCCTAAAATATTTCCCAGCAAGTTTTAGACTAAATACCAATATACATTCCCATGTGGTATCCCCCTTATAGAATCCCTAACCCTTATCTGTAAATTTTTCAGCTTTATTATTTCTTTTAATTTTAGCCAGATTTTCCTTTTCTAAGCTTCCCCAGTCTTCTTTTTCCTTCTGGTATTATTTTTATTCCCTCTGCCTGTCAGCCATGTTTTCCCCAACCCTTTCCAGTTCTCTTTTTGGGGGTTTCTTCTTCTTCTTCTTCTTAGTCTCGGAAGCCTTATTTCTTTTATTTGTTGTCTCCGTTATCAATGTCTCTATTTTAAATCCTTTTATAACCTTTGGCAATGATCCTTGTTCTCCATATTCATCCTGGGCTGTTGTTTCCCTCTTCCGACTCGTCTCTGAACTTTCTTTGTTCTTCTGCAAGCTGCAACGCCATTACTTTACTAATCACTGTGTCCAGAAACTTCATTCCTTCTTTTAACATATCTCTCACAGTTTGCAGCTCTGACTTAAATTCTTTGCTTATTTCTTCCATTTCTTTATTAAAGATCAAATTTTTCTATTATAGTCCTTGCCAAAAGTTTCTGTTTCTCTCACTTTCTCTTTCTTCTATTTTCTTGTCACAGACAACCTCTAGCAGTCCCAGAATATTGTATTCCTTTATATTTTACTATAGTCCCCTCTTTAAAAAAAACACTTCTGGGGTTTTTGTTGTATTAATAATTTTTTATTCCATTTCTTCTCTCTTTCAAATATTTATGCGACCAGTAATTCTCCATAAAAACATAAAAGAGGAAAATCTTTAACGATTAGGTGATGCTCTATATCACTTTCTTTTCAAAGTTTTTTTCTCTTTTCCGTAGTAGTAATGTTAATTTTTATCCATTCCAAATAAGTCCAGCATTTTATCCAATGCCTAATTAATGTCCAATTCTGTATATTAGTTCAAATTTAATCTCTGATTTCATATAATTCTTTTATTTCCGGTTTTTCCTTTTCCTTATATTTTCCTCTTACTCTCCGTTCGCCACTATCATTCTTCCAAGCAAGGACTCTTTCTTTCCGCTTTTCAGGGTTTTCAAAAAAAAATATTCAAAGCCTTTTATCCAGTTACACACCACTCATCACTTCCACTTTTCAGCACAAACTTAGGTCCCGGCAGCTTCCCGTCTTCAGGGTGGACATTAAACTGCCACTTCTCCCTGTCTTCTAGGGAAGTAAATACCAAGCCAGGGAGGGGAGATGCAGTTCCCCTCAACCCAGCAGGTCTCCCCATCTTCCCCCACCCCTACAAGGTGGGTCAGATGGTTCTGGTCCCTTGGGGACCCCTCCAACAGGGCAAGCATGGATCAAAGCAATGCATGATTGTGGTCTCTGGTCTGTCTTCGACGGAAACATCACCGGAAGTATAGTTTGTCCTCATATGGTAGCCTCTGGGTGGTGTGCAATGCCCACTTGCAGGTCTCAGAAGTTGTGTTCTACAACTTCCGAAATGTTTTTAATGTATGGCAAAAACCATATGGTTGGTCTTATACCTTGTTTCTTTTTTTCTCTTCCCATCATGTTGCACAGACATCTTGTAATAAATAATTGTAGGTACCAGTGGTGGGATTCAAATTTTTTTACTACCGGTTCTGTGGGCATGGCTTCGTGGGCATGGCAGGGGAAGGATACTGTAAAATCTCCAGTCAGAAGTGGTATTTGCCGGTTTTCTGAACTACTCAAAATTTCCACTACGGTTCTTCAGAACTGGTCAGTAACCTGCTGAATACCACCTCTGATCAGAACCCAAGTATGATTCTTTTTTTGTGTGCCTCACTGCCATACTTACGTATAAAGCAACAGACTTGATTCTAAAACAGCATGCACCATTGTCTGTTTTGAGATCTCCTGACCTCACATAAACTTTTGAATGAATACAGAGTTAAGGCTCAGTAGTTTAATGTACACCCCTGGAACAAGACTTACTTTGATACTCTGTATGATCAAGTTAGATTTAGGCTATTAATGTACACTTTTATAGGCCCTGGGCTAAATGTATATTGCTTTTAAGATGTAGTAATGCTACAAATGTCACTTACTCTATGCCAGCCTTTTTCTCTGTCACCTTCCTATCTCTGTAGTATTCTCTCTAAGGCACTTTCTATGTGGCTCATTATCTATATGGACCTCTTACCATTTCTTTAATGGAGGAATGGAGGACATTTTCCCTACCCATTCTCAGCCCATTACAAAGGCATCTTGCACCTAAGATCCAACTGCTGTTTTTCTGACATAGGTTGTCTTATGCCCTTTAGAATGGATGTTCTGCACCACTTCACCCAATCTAGCAGCAGCCCAGCTCCAAGTGGTTGCAGCACCTGCCACATCTTCTTTCTGGTACCTGGTACCTGCCTTGGGTAGCCATTTTATCTTAAACTGCCAGGCTGCTAGATAATCCGCGAGTGGCAAAAGTTATGTTATGTTTGGTTGTTGGTTTGACCTCTGACCTTGGCAATTTGGTTGCAAACTTTTCATCACCATTCAAGGAGATATCATCAGTGGGTTTTGAATTGTGCTTGTCTATCAGAACACAGGTTTTTAAATACCTTTTTGTGAGATGCAAATTAGTCTGAATGATGTTTGTCCAGAGATTTCTGAGTCATGGTCTGATTTCCTACTGTTTGATTGGCTGGCTATTGTTGCTGGGCTATAGCATCACACAGACTGTACTTAAAAACCAAAGACTATAGCCCAGCAGCAACAGCCAGCCAACAGTCTTCCCAATGTAAGATTAAAAGTTACAATTAAAATGGGCCAAATACAAAGAATAAAAGGTAGCAGGTAGCACCAACCTATCCAAGTGAATATTCCTTCCAGGCTGAATTTAGCTGGAAGGTATCCCTATTAAATAAGAAAAGATATTTCCTCAAATATATTGCCATTTCAATCAGCAATGCTAAACAAGTGGAAAAGGTAGTTCAATGCTCCCTCTTGGAATGCCGATTAAGTGCACTTTCTTGGAATTCCCAAGGGTGCACTTTTGGGGAAGAAAAGAAAGGTTTTCCTACATAAAAGTCTCTGAGGGAAGGACTTTGTGCATCCTCTTCCAACAGCTGACTCTGTATGTGATGTTCTTGGAAATGAATTGCTCCTTTGGTTCAAGTAACTGCCTATGTGTTTATTCCCAGCTCAGAAATTGTTCTGGTGATATTTCTTTCTAAATGTAGGAGCATTATTCTTCTGTTTATGTGTATCTGGACTGTTATTTCTTGCTTCAATGTTACGATAAACCTGCAAAGTAATTGTTCTCTATTGTGTTGATTATTGTAATATTGGAGCTGTGGTGGTTCTGTAAGGAGAAAAAAAGAAATGTGGGAAGACATCTACAATTTGGGAAAGCAATAGAACAACAATACAGGGAACAATTGTATGCTACAATTTGGGAAAGCAAAGGAACAGCACAGGAAACAAATTGAGGCCTTCTTTCCTGCAGGAATAGCAAAGGCAAAATGTTGGGGAACCACCAAGTACATCTTTCAATGACTGTAATCCACACAGAGCACCATTGCCAATTCACTGCAATTCAGATTAAAATGTTTGAAATTGGCTTAGAAAAAAAAGCAACAGCAGCATGGGAGACAAGTTGTCTAGGATGCAGTGTGGAATTGACTTGAATGTTTTAGCCTGCTTCTACTGCCTGTGCTAATCAACTAACCAAGTATGTTACTTTGGTCAGACTGCCTGATCCTTATTTTACTAGAGGAAGATAATTTCATCCTTGATCCTTATTGGGACTGCAGAGTGGGAAAGGTTAATATTTGCATGCCTTTTCTTAAATGCACTTAGAAACTAGCACAATACTTTTCTTTTTTTATTCACACTCACTGTATTATGTAAAAGGAGTCAGGGTTCTGCAGCTGTGAAACAATAAATTTCACACTACAGATTATTAGAAAAAGGAGTGGTGATAAAATTGTTCAAGCCTTAATGGTGTTATATAAATCTGTGGTATCACGTTTTTGGCATACTATATTTGTACTGTAGTGCTGGAAAAGGTGCCAAAAAAGAGCAATAAAAATTAAGGTGTTGGAACAGTTTCCTTAACAAAGAAATGCTAAAATATTTAAGGCTTTAAAAATAAAAAAAAATTACTAGTATAATGTACTAGTAGTTTATAGAAATAAAGATACATGGTGTGGATCAAGTGGAGATTTTTTTCCTCCCTCAAAGTAGAACCTAGAATCTTCTGTGGGAAAGAATGGACAGCAGGATGCATAACAAACAGTAAAAAATATTATTGCACATATGATTTAATTGACAGATGTCCTGGTATAATTTGTGATGAAGGCCACGAAACGGTATGATTCCCGAGGGATTAGAAAAAGTTTTGGATGATAGAATATTTGTCATGAGGATCATGTGTGGGGAGAAACTGTGAGGGATGCTATTGCATTCATGCCCTGCTTAGAGACTTCTGGGAGACACAAATTTGGTCCTTATGAAAATGCCATTTTTGATTAGCCATTGTGTATCCACTGCAGGATGAAGATCTCTTCTGCATGTTTCCATCTAATACAGTCCTAAGCTTTCTACTACCAAATGGCCTGCAATACTTGCTGATATCGCCAATCCATCTTGTTTTAGATCTTTTTCATGGATGCTCTTTTTTCAAGGGGGATCCATTCTATGACTGCCTGAGTCCATATTTAATCAGTTTTTCTTGGTATGTGACCAATTGTTACACAAAAGTAACAACACTCAAAAGTAATTCAAAAGTAACAACATCCACAAAAGAGGAAATGCCAGATATCCTAGCGGAGAAAGAATCAAGTGCCATAAAATCAATGAAAAATGGCAACGCTTCAAGAAATGATTGTGTTACTGTTGAAATGGTGAAAGGTGGAAGTCACAGTTTACACAAGATACTAGCAAGATGCCTCAGAAAAGAAAAAATACCTGATGCATGGCAAAATGATGAAGTGATTCTTATATACAGGAAAGGGGCCAGGATGATTTAAAGAACTGTCGCCCAATAAGCCTTTTTTTTTAGTCATCTACAAGGTTTTCATCAAAATCAGCAAAAAGAATATTGAGAACATGAAATGATGCACAGCCAAAGGAGCAGGCAGGGTTCAGAAGTGGCTATAGCACAATGGATCACATCCAGGTTGTTCAGCAAGTCATTGAAAGGCACAACAACTATGCCATGACTCTGTGCATAGATTTCATTGACTACAAAAAGGTGTTTGACTCAGTACTCCAGCAAGCAATAATTAATGCCTTATTCAGCCAAGGCATAGACTCTGCTTACATAAACTTACTACAATCAATATAAGAAAAAACAATTGTGACAATTTGCCTTAATGATTTTAAAGCGGAAATCAACATAGAACAAGGTGTATGACAAGGCAATACAATATCACCTATCCTTTTCTCAGCCTTACTTGAAGAAGTATTTCACAAACTGTACTGGGCAAAAGATGCTCTTCAATGGCACCTATTTAAATCACTTAAGATTTACAGGTGATGCTCTTCTCTTCTCATAAGACCCAGAAGAACTATGCAAGAGTTGCACAAAGCAAGAGAACCATTTAGATTGAAAATAAATCTGAAAAAGAGCCAGTGTATGTTTAATAAATTTACAAAGTGTGTGTGTGTGTGTGTGTGTGTGTGTGTGTGTGTGTGTGTGTATCTGGAGAAGAACTAGACATAGTAGATGACTACATATGGCTTGGCCAATGAATCTCAATGGAAGGTAATACAAAACAGAAAATTAAATGGTGCATTAAATGTGGTTGGCAGACATTTAGCAAGCTAAGCATAATTTTCAAGAACAGCCTCTTCCTATGTCTGAAGAGAAAGATTTTTGATCAGTGTGTGCTACCTACTCTATGCTGGTGAAACATGGACACTAACCTCACAATCGATACAAAAGCTATGAGTGGTGCAAAGTACCATGGAAAGCTTGCTCAGCATTACAAGACAAGATAGAAACATCTGCACATGGATTAGAGAACAAACAAAGTATATGATATCACCAAGAGAATAAAAGAATGGATTGTTATAAACAGAAGTAAAATTCCAAAATCTATTAGGTTGTCTTCATAGGCTACATTAAGCCATAAATCTGTCATTTTACATTTAAGCCTACATGTTCTAAAACCCTAGTCTGTAAAATTAATTCTTTATTCAGTTGTGCAAACCCAGAAACATAGGATAATAAAATAAGCCATGTGTGATGATGTCATAGAAGAGTAACATCAGCTAGGACTCTTGGAAGGAAAAAGAATCAGGGAATAATTCAGCTTTCTACTAAAAAAAAATATATTGTGGTATTATGAATTTTATGAAGTTGAATGAATTTGTTTATTAATACAAAGTTCCATATGTAGTAAGAATCCACACAGAGATATGCTTC